AGGGAGCTGCAGTTTGTACTGGGGCAGATGGCAGCTCCCACATCTGACGCACGGGCTTTGGGCACCAGGAACGGGGACGGCAGGAGGCCTTCTCCTCCTTCAGAGTCCGCCCTAACTTCTGGGCCTCACAACTGGGGAAGCAGAGATCCAGAGGGAGCAAAGCCTTGCCATGGGTCACTGGGGGCGCAGGAAGCAAAGTCAACATTAAAACCCAGGCGGCCCACACCTCCCCTGCTCTCCCAGACCATGTTACACCCAGCCCTGTGCAGGGCCCATACAAGACAAGGTCTCTCCTTCACCCTTCCACGCCCACTCCTGCCTGCCAGAGGGGGAAGGGTGTGATATTTCCCAGGTAATTAGGGGTATGGACACCCCTCCCTCCGCCAACAGGGCCCTCCAAGCCACTCACAAAGCACTTTGTGACTATTGCCTTGGCCAGGTAACCCATTTCCAAGCCCCCAGCCTGGGGAACAGAGCCAATGGGAGGGCATCTGATGGGCTCCCGTTCAAAGAGGTGGCACACAGAGCAGCACCTCACATTCACAGACCCCCCCAAAAGCCTGCCCAAGCATCTCCAGGGGAGACGGCTCCTTGTCTAAGCTTCCCACAAGCCAGCTTCTTCCCAGCCCCTTGGGCAGGCTGAGTCCATTCCCATCAGACAGGGGCAGCCCCTCAGGTCATCGTCCCTCAGTTCCTTTGTAGGCCTGGGACTGCTGGTGCGAAGAAACCTACCACGTAAACGTAGGGAGCAGGCCGAGTGGGGAATCCAGACAGCCCTTTGCCACTGTCCCCTAACCAGCCTGGCTAGACCGGGCTAGGGGAGCAGATCGAGGCCGCCTTAGGAGCAGGCTTCACCAGGGGAATTAGGCAAAGGCGAGCTCAGCTGTTCCCAGTCGGCAAGCAGGCCTGGGGATGAGGATGCCCAGGCGTGGCCTCTCCCTGAACCAGGCCCTGCCAGGGGCCTCAGCCTCGGGAGCCAGGGGCAAGGAGCCCTAGGAGGAGCCACCCCCTCCTGTGCTCCCCAGGAAACTGTATCCAAGCCCTAGGACCCTAGATGCCCCCTGCCCTCCCTCTGGCCAGCCCAGCGGTCGCGCCGACCATGAGAGCAGCAGGTGCAAGACGCGGGGGCGGCACCGAGACGACACAAAAACCACATTTGCCCCTTACCTCCTCAGGCCCTGCCGGCCTCCGCCACAACCCTCCGGCCAAGCCAGGATGGCGCTTCCGTCTGGACACCGCCATGGGGAGGTGGGGAGGTGGGGAGGCAGCAAGCTGCCCGCCTCCCTCTGGCTGAGGGGTGGGAGGCGGCGCCGGCAACGTCTTTGCTCGCCAGCCCCCGGACTTGGCGGGGTGGGGGGTCGGCAGGGAGGGAACGAGCGGCCCCCTCGGGCCGGCCCTCCACCCAAGGACACGACTGCACGGCGGCCCGGCCTCGGGGGCCGGAGGAGGCCGGAGGCCGCAGCCCCCCGCCCCGCCCCGTCCTCCGGCCGCGCACCGCGCTCCCGCCAGGCCCCGGCGCCCGCCCGGCGGCGGGCCTGGGTGCGCGGTCCCGCCCCTGGCCCGGCCCGGCCCGGCCCCGCTTACCCGGGGCGCTGCAGTCCGCACACACCTCCGCTCGCGGCCCCTTCCGGGACATCCTCAGCGGCGACGCGGCCGCAGCCCTCTGGGCCAGCGTGGGGGGCGCGGGCGGCGGGCCCGGGCGGCGGCGGCGGCGGTGGTGGCGGCGGCGACCCCTTGCTGCCCGGCCCGGCTCCGGCAAGGCCCCGGCGAGGCTCCGCGCGCCCGGCCAACCGTCCGCGCCCGGGGCTGGCCCGGAACCCGCCGTGCCCGCCCGCCCCGCTCGCCCTCGGGCGCCCTCCGCCCCGCGCGCCCCGCGCCGCCCCGCGCCGCCCCGCCGCCGCGCGCCGCGCGCTCTCCCCGCCCCCTCCTGCAGGAAGCGGCGCAGACCCCGCCCCCCGGAGGAGGGGCCGCCCCCGTCCCCCGACCCGGAGAGAGGAAGCCGGGAGCGCGGCCGGCGGGGGGCGGGGGCGCTTAAAGGGGCCGCGGCGGCGCGGGGCGCGGACAGGCGGCGTGGCCTGCAGCCCGGGGACCCTCCGCTGCCGCGCTCGCCGAGCCCCCCGCCGCCACCACCTGCGGTCCCCAAAGCCTTCAGGGAAGCGGGAGCTGGAGTCGCCAAGGGGGTGTGCTTTAGGGGGTCATCCCTGTACCCCTAGGTGGGGTGACCTGGGCGTCTGAATCCGTCCCCGACACCCCTGCTCCCCTCAGGGAGCCACAGCTCCGTGTCCAGGTGCGCGCGTGTGTGTGTGGTCACACCCTTGGCCACAACCTGGACGCCCAGGTGTGAGGGAGGTCAGGCAGTATCTATGCGCCCCCCTTGCCTCTCCCCGCGTGGAGCGCAGAGGGGGTCGACGCGGAGCAGGCCTCGACGCCCTGCCGAGGGTCCACCGCGCCCGCTTCTGCCCAAGGTCCCGGGGACCTCCCCGAGGGGTGTGCATCCCCGAGCGGGGGCTTCTACCCTGCTGGAAAACCTGTTTCAAACGGAGGTGGGGGGAGGGCAGACTGCACGTGGGTGCACCCCCTACACTGAGCATGCTCCCCCATTCACGTGTGCCCGGCGTGCACCCAGCTCCGCAACGCAGGCCACCCTGGACAGGGGTCAGGTCAGCGGTGGCACGGTGAGGACAGGGTCTCCCCAGCCCAGGGCATCGGGCAGGGGTGCGCGCCCCAGCAGTGCAGGGGTGGGCAGCCTCCCTTCCCTAGGGGCGCCAAGTGCTGCTCATGAGTCACACCGCCCGAAATACACGCAGAGCTGCCTCCATCGCCTTTCGCTGCAGCCCAGATTGACAAGTTTGTTTGAAATAGCAATCCACGGGATATATTTATAATCGCACCTTAAAAAAAAAAAAAAGAAAACACCTCTGGCCTCTGGCAGTCCTCCCCTCCCCCCCCCCACGTTGGTGAGGGCCCGTGCCAGCTCAGATTCCGCCTCTGGGGGTGTCGGGTTTGGGGTTCAATGGTGTCCCACCTGCACCCCAACCCGGGCTGCACCCGCACCGGGGAGCTCCGGGGGCTGTGACTGAGGGGGGGTAAGCAGGAGTGGCTGGACAGCCCCGTCCCGGGGGCGCAGCCCACCCGCCTGCTCACACTCTCCCCATCGACACCCTCCTTCCCCCAGCTACGGAATTTCATTTATTCGCAGTCGAGGCGGCCGCTGGCAGCCGGGCGGCTGGGCTGGTCTTTGTTGCTCTGCCGTGTGGGCGCGTCCGGAGCACGTGGCAGCCCGGGCGTTCCGGGCGAAGGCACAGGTACCTGGGTGGAGCTGTCACCTGGCCGCCCGGCGACCCGAGCGCCTGGCTGACCCACTGGGAGGTGGGGGCGGGGACCCGAGTCCCCGAATCCGGGCGCCCCCCGCCCCTCAGCTCCCGCCCTGCCCTTTGGGCTGTCGGGCGAGGAAGGGTGAGTCACCACGCTGCCCCGTCCCCAGCTCCAGGCGGCCCCGGGGACTACCTGGGCGTGGTCCTGGCGCGGACTCCGCGTCCACAAACTTTTTGCCAGCAGCATCCCCCTGGTCCCCACCCCCAGCGCTGTCGCAACGGAGCTGAGGGAAATAAAAGGGGGCGACTGGGCTTCCCCGGCAACGTGTGCACACCCAAAGGCGCGGGACAGCTGAGGCGGAATCACACACAAGGCTCCAGAAAAAAAAATTTTTTTAATGAGGAAATGTATCCAGCGGTCACTCCTGGACGCCCCCCACCCCCGCGCTCGAGCCCCCTCCCCAGCTCCGGGGCAGCCGCAACCATCTGCTGACCCCTGGTGGCCGCGGCTAGCGGCGACGCCCGGCTGGCTCCTCCTCCCCGGCTGGAGAACCGGGCGCGGCGGTGCGCTCCGCCCTCGTCCCTTCCCGCCCGGGCCTGGCACCGCAGGGTGTGGAGGAGGCAGGAGGGGAGACCACACAAAGAAACCCGAGAGAGGCTCGGGGAGTTTGCAAGCTTCTGCTGGCACCTCCCACACAAAACACGCCTGGGGGTTGTCACTCCAAGCAGGGCTGCGGTGGAATCCCTTTTCCCTGCCTTCGTCTCAGGTGGGCCCTGGAGGGCACTGCGCGCCTCCCGTCCAGCCACCTGTCTCGGGGTGAAAGAGGGCGGCGCCGCTTCCAGGGCAGCTACTGTCCTCAGCTCACCCCCTCGCCGCCTCTGGACATTTGAATGTCCAAAATGTCGTCTCATTTTATAGGTGCGTGGACTGAGTTTAAGTTTCCCGACCCTGCGGGGAAGGGGGTGCCTGAGCAGTCATTCCCGGCGGCCCCAGAAAGGCCAGTTCCGCTCTGACCACGCCCTGTGCAGGGGCCACTCTGGGCGACCTCTGCGTCCTGGGGTGACTCGGGCAGCTGGCACGTTCTGCAGCCAGGAGTGACGAGGGTGCAGCTGCCACCTGCTAGCTCCTCCGCCCCACCTCACGCTGGTCCTGGCCGAGGACAGTGTGTGGAGGGGGCGGGGGCCGGGCTCTGTTCTGCTGGCCGTCGGGACAGCCTCTGTTTCCTGCCTTGTGTGGACATCGAGCTGAGGGCAGGCGGAGGAGACGCCTAAGCCCTGGCGGCTACATGCCCCGCACACATTCCCAGGGGTCCACAGCAGTCACCCCCCTGCCGCCAATCTGGTAGTCCAGCTCGGTTACCAAGGCCGCAACGCTGACCCCATCCCCACCCCCACCCACCTGCAAGCTCCAGCAAGGCCTAGAGCCCCTTCCCTCTCTAGCACAGAGAAAAATGCCAGCGAGGGGCGATGCGCCCCAGCCCACTCGAGTTAGGGCACTGTCTTCGTTTTGGCCAGGTCGGATCCTCTGCTCACCCTTCCCGTGGGACTGGGGGTCGGTGCGGGACCTTCTCCAGCCACCTGCCACCGTCAGTGCCACGAGGCGAACTACAAGCCCCATGATGCCACGGGGCCGAGCTATAAGCAGCCCTGCCGGGGACATTCGGGGATCCCCCCTCCTCTCCCCTGCATCCCCGCGTCCCTCGCCGGCCGCTCGGGCTGAGGGCCGGGCTATGCGGCTGCGGGGAGCCGGGGGCTGCGGGCGCACGTCCCTGCCGCGGCGTCCCCGGGGCCCGCACCCCGTGCGCCCCCGCTGCGGGTGCCTGCTCCCTCCGCCGAGCAGACTCTTTGTGTGCGGGGGTGTGGGAGGCGAGGCGCGACTCCGCGCCGCGCCGCCGAGTGCCCGCTCCCTCCCCGGGCGGGTGGGGGCCTCTCCGCGCCGCCCGCCGCCTCGCGAGGACGCCCGCCGCCCGCGCCGCCCGCACCGCGCCGGGCGCGCCGCCCCCGCCCGCCGCCGCGCGCACATGCCCGAGCTGCAGCCCTGCGAGCAGCCAGCGCCCGCCGCCCGCCCCGCGGCCCCGGGCCCCGGCTCCGGCACCGGCACCGGCGCGGTCCCTGCTCCCGGGCCGGGCGCGGCGGCCCCGGCATGAGGAACGGGCGATGATCCCCGCCAACGCCTCAGCCAGGAAGGGGCCCGAGGGCAAGTACCCGCTGCACTACCTCGTGTGGCACAACCGCCACCGCGAGCTGGAGAAGGAGGTCCGCGCCGGCCAGGTAGGAGCGCCGTCGAGGCGCCGGGCCCCCCGCAGCCCGGCACGCCCGTCCGGCAGGGGGACGGGGCGCGGCGCGGGCCATCCCGCCTCTCCTGGCGAGTTTGCGGCGCTTCTTTGTTTGCAGCCGCGGCTTTTGTGTTTGTTGACTGGGAGAGGGTGATGGGAGCGGCCCCTGCCCGCTCCCTCCGGCCGAGGCTGGCGGCCCGCACGTGCTCCCGACCCTCCCGGGGCCGTGCGTGGGGCCGCTGTGCCCCTCCTGGGTCCCGGGCAGTGAGCGCTGCGGGGAGAGCAGCGGCTCGGAGGATGTTAGGGTGGTGGGAGGGTCCGCCCCGCTCCGTGGAGCAGTGACACCTCCCGGGTGAGTGTGTGGAGGTGGGCCAGGTCCGCGTAGGGAGGGGGCCGGTGGGTTGGGGCGCAGGGACCAGGCTGTGGGACACTCCCAGGCACCATGGCCCCACCCAGTGCCCTTTCCCTTCGTGGTTTCTTTAGCTCTCCGTTCCTGTGACCCAAGACCCCAGGTTAGGCTCGGGAGCAGGCGAGGAGAGCGACCCTCTCCGGGAGTCCCCGCAAGCCCTTGTCCAGGTGCTGAAAGGCGCTCTCCTGCCCTCTGGTGCTGGTGCCCGGCTTCTAGGCGCCCGGGAAGGCGGAGTGGGGGGGGGGGTGGACAGGGCAGGGCAAGGCAGGGCAGGGACAGCATCGGCTGCCGGCAGCATCGAGCTTCTGCAGAGTGAGTCCTCTGATTCTGGCTGCTGGGCAGTGGACACCCGTGGCTCAGCCAGCTTTAGGCTGAGCAGTGGTCTCCAAGCAAAGAGGGAAGGGGTTGGATCCCTTGGTCATCTTTGAAGACAGAGGCAAGCTCAGGTCACACAGGGAGTTTTCAACTCTGTCCTGGCACCCAGACCACAGGCAGAGAGCAGGGGACACAGCTGTCCCCAGCCTGCCCTCACTCTCAGCCCCAGCCAGTCCAGGGGGAGGCCTCCAGGCTTGGGCTGGAACTGGGAAGCTCAGGGTTGCAGGGTCAGCTCAGGCACCCTGCGACAGGGTACAACTCCCATGGGATGTGTGGGGCAGAGGGCAGGGCAGTAGGCTGTGTTTCTGAGGCTCATCTCCTAGTCCCTAGGCTGGGTGAGCTGAGACCAGCAAGCAGCTGGATTTACTTGGCTGTCCCCCTCCTTCCCACCTCTGTTAAGTTGGGGGCTCCCTGGGTTGACTCTGTTTACCCCCTCATAAAGGAGGTGACTTCTGACCAGAGTAGCCAAGAGCCAAGATAGAAAAGCAAGGCACTCGTCTTGCCCTGGGGGAGATAGTGTGTGTATCCCAAGGTTACAGAGTGAGGAGCTGGGTGCTGAGACACACACCCAGGCCAGCCTCCTGGCTGCGCTCTGCTCCTCCCCGGAGGGCAAGAGGCGAATCCCTGAGTGAGGTTATAGCTGGTGGGGTTTAGGTCTCACCTGCCAGCAACATCCCAAAGGTCCCAGCATTCTCAGGGTGGAGTCGGCATCTCCAGGGTGCCTCCAGGCCACTGCTGGGTCCTAGAGGAGGGAGCTGCTTTTCCTGCAGACAGTGGAGAAGCCCAAGCACCCTGGATGCCCACATGGGCTATCGCCCGGGCTGCTCTGTCGGGAGGCCTGAAGGCAGCAGCCATCTTGTTGGGGTGAGGTCGGGCTGGGGAGCAGGAGTGGCTGCAGGTGGGGACAGCTGGGAGCTGCTGGGTGTGCCCATTTCCCTTGTCCTAGGCTGCCCCCTAAACCAGGGCCCAGGCGCACCCTCTCCCTGCCCAGCTGTGACAGCACCAACTCCTTGAACTGAAAATGGTTTGCCACCTTCCATCCAAGCCAGGGGACTATAGGGCGCCAGTGGAAGTCTGCTCACAGTCCCTCACAGGCGGGGGGAGGGAAGGGCCAGGCTGTGCTCCAGCCCCAGGACAGACACCTGCACCCTAGTCCTCAGGGCCTCAGGGTCTGCTTCCTGCAGAGGGTGACCTCAGGGGAGGCAACTCCCTGACAAATCCCCTGGCATCCCAGCAGGGAGGCCCTGGCCTCTGATCCTGCTGGCACTGGCTGCCACCCAAGCAGGCAGGCTTTCCTCAGACATGCCGAGACCGGGTCTTCCTGTGCTCGACATAGCTGCCTCTGCTGCACGCCATGAGGCCCTCCCGTGGGCAGGCTTGGCAATGCCGACGGACCGAGGAGGGGGCATGCACAGCAGCCTGCATGACAGGGCAGCAAGCTTGGTCAGCTCCCCTGCCTCCTAGCTTCGCTGAGGGAGGAGGCCCAGAGTGGTTTGAAGTCGGGGGGGCGGGGGGGAAGCGGTGCAGCTGGTGCCCTGCTTCCTGCTGTGTTGCATTCCCTGCCAGGTTAGAAGAGGCAGGAGTTGTAGCCTTTGGATGTGCCAGTTCCCCCTTGCCTGGCATGGCTGTGAGGTTGGCACAGACATCTGGGCAAGGCTCTGGAGTCACAAGTCCCTGGGGTTATTGTGAGTGTGGGAGGAGGGTGAGGGCATAGCTCCCTGTGTGGACAGCAGGCGTCCGAAGGGGGCCAGACCGTGCCCCTTGGGAAGCATTTGCTTTCCTCCTGGGGCTGCTGCTGCCATGGTCCTCCTTCCTGCTCTCCCTGCTCATCCTTCTGACCTAGAGGCAGGAGAGGTGTGGCCCCGGATGCTCAGACAGCTGCTGTCCTGCTGAAGGTGCAGGTTGGGTCCAGGACCTTGGGAGGCACCCGTGAGCTCTCCCTCTCCCAAAGCGGACAGTCCTGGGTGTGGAGTGTCGCCACAGCTGGTAAGCTAGGAGGCTCAGCAAAGAGAGCCGCAAACCCCAGGAACCAAAAATCAATGTGTTCTGGAAGGAGTGGGAGGGGCTGCAGAGGACATGACAGAAGGGGCCTTAGAGTCAGCAGGTGCTGCCCTCAACGACTGGTGTAGCTGCTCACCCACTAGCATCATCTCCCCCTCAACATGAGGAAGTGCGCCCCTCTCCTCCCACCTGCACACCTGTCCCTACACCCCAGTCAGGTGACACAGCTCAGACACCAGGACCAAACCAGACTCCTGGGGCTTGGGGGAGGGGACAAGGAAAGCACCCAGAGGCGTGGTGGGTGAGTCCCTGGGGATGCTCCGGGCCCAGTGCCCCTCTCCAGCACCCATGTCTAGCCTGCACACTTGGTGTGTGTTTTTTAACACTGCACTTCACAACAGGATTCTGCTAATGCTACTGGAGTTAGGAAAACGCCCTGTTCTGGCATGGGGGTGTGAGGACAGATGTGGGGGTGTGCAAATGAGACACCTGCAGAGCCGGAGGGCAGCCTGTGCATGCACACGGAGAGGGTGTGCATGCATGGCGTGGGGGTTGGCAGAAGCAGGTGTGAGCGCACCCTGTGGTGTCCATGGCATGTGTGCACCTGCCAGCCTGGAGAGCCTCAGCTCTGACCCAGCAGCTTCTGCCAGGGTGAGAAGTCTCTGTTCTCTCGGGGGGAGGACTGGGTGTTGGGTTTCACCGGGAAACCTTTTCATTCCAGCAATTAAATAGCTGTAGGCCTGTGCTGAGATGAATGAATTCTTCCACCTGGGCCTAGGGCAAGGTGCCACCTGCCCAGCAGGCCCTGTTTTGGCCAGGTGAGGAGAACAGCTTTGGGGCCTGGCTGGGGTCCACATCTGCCCCAAAACACTGGTGCCCGAGGAGGATTGGCAAGGGGAGAGTGGGTGTGGGGAGGGACGCCGTGCTTGGTAGTGGTGCCAGCTTCCCTCTGGGGCCTGGAGCTGAGGCACCTGACGGGGTGGGGGGAGGGTGCGACGGGCAGCATCTGGGGCCCTGGGCAGGGCACCCCGCCAGCTCCCTGAGGTCTTGTTAGCAGCCACAGAAGCATCTGGCACACAGCGTAGCGACTTGGCTACATAGAGCCTGACTTGCCACCAGTTTAGGGGCTGTGGGGCCTCCACCACCCCCACCTTGGAGCTGGGGACCTCACTCAGACTGGGTTTCTGGGACCAAGGGGAGCTGAAGCCACAGCAGGCAGAGTGTTCACAGTGCTGGCCGCACCCCGCATGTGGGAAGCTGGGGCAGCCGAGCAGCGGGAGTGCCTTTACCCCGACATTTCCAGGTCACAGCGCTGGGGCTGGCAGGGGTCAGGCCACTTTTGTTTGAGGCTCTCAGTACATTTAAAAGTGAAGACATGCAATGGAGAGTCATGAAAGTTATGTAAACAATTTTTAATGCCTTGATTTTGATGAAGGTGTTCACACCTGTGTTGTAAAATATTTGTTGGGAGAAGGTGCCTGGTGACAGTGGCTGTGTCGCTGCATGGCTCCCTGCCTGTGACTGCGGTACCTCTGCCATTCCAGATGACACTGCCGGCTTGTCACCACTACAGCTTCTGACCTCCCCATGCTGCCCTCACATCTCCCCAGTACAGGCGGCCCTGCTTGTAGACCGAGAGGTGATGGTTAGGATGAGAGGTGCGTGTAGGGTTTGGGGGGTGGGCGTCGAGGCGAGCAGCCGGACAGGTGGCTTTCCGAGAAACGGGGTGGGGAGGATGGCGGTGAGAAAGGCCACGAACAAAAGGCAGGAGAACTAGGGCAGCAGAAGGGCCGGGGGTGAGTGGCAGCTGTCAGCTCCGTGCTTCTCGAAACAGACCTTGGCAGAGGACATGGGGTGGGGGTGCAGGTGAAGCCTGACGTGAGGGTGAAGGCTTTGTGGCTCGCTAGATGCGGTGGCCCTCGTGGGACTGCTGGCCACAGCACACTGAGACAGAGAACCGCACAAGTCCAGCAGCAGCGCACCGCCGCTGTTCGCCGATGGGAGGCGCAGGTGAGCGCGGGAGGCCCTTCCTCAGGACCCGAGCCAGAGCCAGGAAGGCCCACTGGCTTTTATCAGCAAGTCATTTTCACGGAAACGAATTGCCCCCCAGCGAGACCTGACCCACTCTCGTCAGAGGCTGGGGCCCCGGTGACGCAGTCAGCTTCCACTAGGCCCACGTCTGGTAAAGACCCAACAGTCCTTAACATTACGGTGCTTGAGGCTTCCAAGAGAAGGCCAGGCCACGTGGCTTTACGCTAAACGGGGATGGGGTGGGTGGGAAGTGGCAGACCTGGGTGACATTTCTCAGGGTGCATTTGGCTGTCATGGGTGATGGGGAGAACAGACAGCAGATGGGAGGAGAGCAGGGAGAGAGGGCATGGCCGTGACCGGGATGGCAGCGTGCCAGTGGAGAGGGCTGTGGGTCCACTTGGAAGGCAGCCTCTGGAGGTTTTGCTGATGCGTTAGATGAGGAGGCTGAGGGAGAGAGGCGAGAACGTGGGTGCCAGAGCATTTTCTTTTCCCTTGATGTGGAAGTGCAGTAAGGTGAAGAGAAAGTGCCTACTGTGATGGGAGAACTGGGGCTGGGGCAGGTGCAGCTGTCCAGGGCAGTGAAAAAGGCCACTGTGAGAGTGAAGGAGAGAGGAGAGAGCGTGCAAGCTCTAGGAGGACAGGAGGGCCCATTTTATCTCACAGATTCAATGATCTTTTTGTATTTTTCCTGAGCACTCAAGTTGCTGTTCCTCCTCCCCCCCACACACATATACAGTTTGTATGTGTGTGCGTGTGTGTTTAATTCTCTGTGCTGACAGTTTGTTTTTCCTTAATCCTTTCTTTGTGTTGGAGTTTACTTCCTCTTGGAAGCTGTCTTCCTGGGTCCACTCCTCTTTGGCTGGTGGGGCAAATAGCAGAGTGGGGGTGTGACGCTTACCGTGCCTCTGGAAGCACTCTGGCCTCTCGTGGAAGCACCCCCTAATGCATAGTCAAGGTCTTTGGGGCTTTAAGGTTCTCCAAGAAGTAATTCTCCCCTCTCCTGCTTGGGTGGGATGGTGGTGGGATCCAAGGTAGGGATCCAAGCTAGGGCCTCACTGGTCACCCCCAAACCCCGTCCATGGCGGAGGCCAGTGTCTCCATTTAATCAATTGGTCAAAGATCCAGGGACTTTTGAATTGTAGCTGGCTCCTTGCCTTTGTTTGGAGACTCATCCCACCTCTGCTGACCCCTGCCCACAGCTCCTGCCTCTTTTGGGGGTGCTGGGGCTCCCTCCATGACTGCCCAGGCTCTGGCTTCCTCTGCCCGTCCCCGCTCCCAGAATCGCTTGTAAAGACTCCGCCACTTCCCGTGTTCTGAGGATGTGTCGGGATCTCTCATCCGCTGACATTTCTTCTCTTTATTCTTGCAGGTTTTAAATATTTTACTGACATTCTTACACTTATGAATTTAACATTTTTGGCACTCTTCATGCCTTTGTATAGATCCAGGTTTCCATCTGGCATCATTTTCTTTCTACCTGAAGAACTCCTCTTAACATTTCATGCACATCTTTTGGTGAGACATTCTCTAAGCTTTGGTTTATCTGCAGACGTCTTTATTTCCCTTTCATTATTTGAAGAATATTTTCACTGGAGATAGAATTTTAAATTGGAAGTTTCTTTCCCCCCTCTCCTCAAGCACTTTAAATATTTAATTACATTGTCTTCTGGCTTGCATAGTTTCCGAGGAGATGTAGAGTTTCCTGTGTTGGTCTCCCTCTAGTTTTCAGGTTTTGATTATAATGGATCTTGGTGCAGTATCTGTGTGTTTCTTTGTTGGAGTTTGCTGAGTTTCTTGGGTCTGGGTTTGTATTAGTTTCCACAACAAATTGTCACAAGTTGAATAGAGTAAAATAACAAAATCTTGTGGAGGGCATTTGGCATAGTGGTAAAAAATGCTTCATGGGGTGGGAGGGCAGCACTGTGGTGTAGGAAGTAAGGCCACCTGCAATTCTAGCATCGCATCCCATGGGCATGGGCTCGAGTGGTTACTCCACTTCCGGTCTAGCTCCCTATATAACGTGTATAGGAGAGCAGTGGAGGATGACCCAAGTGCTTGGGTCCCTGCATCCACATGAGAGACCTGCCTAGAATGAGATCCGGCCTCCTGGCTTTGGACCGGCCCAGATCCAGCCACAGTGGTCACTTGAGGAGTGAACCATTGGATGGAAGATCCCTCTGTCTCTTTGAAATAAATAAAAGAGTTGTTGGGATGTAATAAGGACATATCCTTTGGGGAGGAGCACTACCGTTTCACCCACTACTGTAGTTTTAATCAAACTTGGACAATGTTTGGTCAGTTGTTTTAACTGTCCTAGTTGTCTGCCATCCGCGTCCTGCCGTCTGGCGGCCCAGCTCCGCACATTAAAACTCCTGACACTGTCCCACCGACTTCTGGGGCTCTGACTTCCCAGCATTCCCCCACCCCGCCCTGCTCCTGTGCTCCAGTTTGTATAGTTTCATTGCCTTGTCTTCAAAGTCAGTGAATGTTTTATTCTGTTTAATCTGCTGCCAGTTCCACCCTGTGAACTTTTCATTTCAGACACTGAGCTTGTTGTCTTTGGGTGGCCCTTTTCGTCCCTGAGAAGCACCATGTTTATGTTTTTCCTTAAGCCACTCATCATCTTTAACACTCCCAAGTCTGTTTTCTTCTGATTTGGGGTCATGCTTTCCTGCTTCTGGGTATGTCTAGTAATTTCTAACTGCACGTTGGGCATTATAAATATTATGATGAGCTTTATGGTCCTCCTTTAAAGAGGATTAGGCTTTGTTCTGGTAGTTAATTAACTTGATCCTTTTGAGGCTCATTTTTAAAAGATCTTATTATTTATTTTTATTGGAAAGGCAGATATACAGAGAGGAGGAGAGACAGAGAGGAAGGTCCTCCATCTGATGGTTCATTCCCCAAGTGGCCACAATAGCTGGAGCTGAACCAATCCAAAGCCAGGAGCCTCTTCCAGATCTCCCATACGGGTGCAGGGTCCCAAGGCTTTGGGCCGTCCTCGACTGCCTTCCCAGGCCACAAGCAGGGAGCTGGATGGGAAGTAAGGCCGCCGGGATTAGAATCAGTGCCCATATGGGATCCCGGCGTGTGCAGGGTGAGGACTTTTAGCCACTACACTATCACACCAGGCCCTCAAATGAATAAATCTTTGAAAAGGAAAAGACTGTGGGCCTGTGTTGTGATGCACTGGGCTAAGCCACCAAATGTGATGTCAGCATCGCATACGGGTGCTGGTGAAATCCGCTTGCCCACTTCCATCCAGCTCTGTTACATGGGTCTGCAAAAGCAGCAGATGTAATGAGTGCTGGGGCTCCTGCCACACAGACGGGACACCTGGAGGGAGTGACTGGCCTGGCTTAACCTGAAATGCAGCCATTTCAGGGGTAAATCAGCAGATGGAAGATCTCTATTTTTTGTTCTCTCCTACCTAACTTTGCCTTTTAGGTACATACAATAAAAAAGGCTTACGCCCAGGCACTGCAGTGTAGGACACGGGCATCTCCGGTGGCGTCGTAGCCGCTGTGCACTGGGCCTGCCCTGCAGGCTGTTTTTGCTCATTCTTTCCCACAACTCGTCCTGACAGCTTCTCATCTCAGCTTCCCTAAACTGGCTCTGTCTCCTGAAGCCACTGAGACCACCGCATGGTGCCGGGGACTACCCGCCCCCCCACTGACGTGCAGTCTGGAATGTTCTTTCAGGTAGAAATCCAGGGATACCCCAGGGTTCCCCTTGTTTCTTTCCCTTAGAGTTCAGTGATCATGCATGGTTCTGGGCTTCCTGTTGCCTAAAAACAGTCATTTCATCTACATCCATTCAGTGTAGATAACTAGAAGTCCTAGACTCCCAAGATAAACATTTATATGTAACACCTATATGCTCTTGTCATACAACAGAAGTCTCACGCAACAGAAAAATAAATATGGAATTTATCCAGAATACTGATGCACAGGTAAAGGACACGGACTGGCAGTTGTAGCGGGAACCTGTTCTTTAGTGTAGCCTTGTGACTGCTGGCAGGAGCCTGACCAGCAGCCTTGCCAGTTGAGGACAGAACCTCCCTGGCCCATGAGGAGGGAACACAGCTGGACAGGCAGGGAAGTCGCTCTGCTCCAGCCATTTTCTGCCATGGCTTCCATGCTCCTGGTCCCAGCTTAGTGCCATTGTCACTGCCCTGTGACAGAGGGGAATCAGGGCAACATGGAGGTGGCTGCCTGTCTCTGGAGTGATCTGAGCTGCATCTTCCACTTTTCCAGGTGGACATCGAACAGCTAGACCCCCGGGGCCGGACTCCGCTGCACCTGGCCACCACACTGGGACACCTCGAGTGTGCCCGTGTGCTCCTGGCACACGGCGCAGACGTGGGCAGGGAGAATCGCAGTGGCTGGACGGGTGGGTACCCTGCATCATGGAATCACCTGGGGCTGGTCGAGGGGTCTTGCCATCTGACACTGCCTCCCCTCCCGCAGTGCTGCAGGAGGCTGTGAGCACCCGGGACCTGGAGCTGGTGCAGCTGGTGCTGCGGTACCGGGACTACCAGCGGGTGGTGAAGCGGCTGGCGGGAATTCCCGTGCTCCTGGAGAAGCTGCGCAAGGTCAGGCCCAGCCTGCCTGCCTCCCGGGGCAGCCTGGACCTCAGTGTGCAGCCCAGGCTCAGCTAGTGTCCTTTGTGTTCTCCAGGCCCAGGACTTCTACGTGGAGATGAAGTGGGAGTTCACCAGTTGGGGTAAGAGGAAATGGACGGGGCCTTGCTGGGTACCCTACCATCCCAAGACTGGGCACTCACTGCTTCCCCGCCAGGAGCCTTCTAGGCGGTCGCTCCCCATGCAGAGCCCTCTCATCTTTAAGCTCCCAGCTCAGTGCCCACTGCTCTGCCAGTTGCCCTGGGTACTGTCTCGATTCCATGATTACGTTCTTGTTTGCTTGGTGATTTATTACCCATAACCCCCCCTGGTTAGAAGGTCAGGTCTGAGAAGGCAGGAATCCTGTCTTGTCCAATTTCCAGTGACTGGGATAGTGCTGGGTGTGCAGGAGTGCGCAACAAAGCTTTGTTAGCAGAATGTGTGAAAGACCGAATGTATGAAGTAACACATGCAGGTCCCCGACCTCAGGTGGCACATGTCTAAGTGAAGCGGTCTACACTGGCAGTTGGAGGGTGAACCACAGACTGCTCTCCCACTAGTTCCCGCTCCCTTTCCTGGCCACACCGCTGCCTTCAACCCCCCAGGCCTTGAGCCCTGGGCTGGGTTGGCCAGGCAAATAGAAGCTGCCTCTGATCTCTGCTTCCATCCAGTGCCCCTAGTGTCCAAGATCTGCCCGAGCGACACCTACAAAGTATGGAAGAGCGGGCAGAACTTGAGGGTAGACACCACCCTCCTGGGCTTTGACCACATGACCTGGCAGCGAGGGAACCGCAGCTTCGTCTTCAGGGGCCAAGGTCAGGCCTGCAGGAGGTGGGGCAGGCTGGGGAGGACAAGAGACAGCCCCACACCAGCTCTGATTACATGTGCTATTCTTCGGCTGGCAGATTCGAGTGCTGTGGTCATGGAGATTGACCATGACCGCCGGGTGGTATACACAGAGACTCTGGCACTGGCCGGGCAGGACCGGGAGCTGCTGCTGGCGGCCTCCCAGCCTACCGAGGAGCAGGTGTTGAGCCGGCTCACTGCACCTGTAGTCACCACACAGCTTGATACCAAGAACATTTCCTTTGAGAGGTGAGTGGGCCTGATTGGCCAGCCTTGAGCCAGCTGGGTGGGGTGCCCACCTCACCTCAACTGCCCTGCTTCCCCAGGAACAAGACGGGCATCCTGGGCTGGCGCAGTGAGAAAACCGAGATGGTGAACGGGTATGAAGCCAAGGTGAGGCACCAGTTCCTGGGTCCCAAACCCAGCCACCCTCTTGCCCACAGCAAGCTGGGCAGGGGCTTCTGACCAGCCCGGCCTGGCCTTGGCAGAACAGAAGGGACATCAGACTCACAGCTGACCCATGAGGATGGCATCTGCTGAGCCCTTATCATATTTGCATTCAAGGCACTGTTCTGCCATTTTAGATGCAGGCATGGACAGATGACACATGTGGGCTTGCCCACTCACTTGTCACAAATGTCACTGGCCAGCAAGGTGTTGTTATTCTCACAGATGCTTATGGAGCCCTTTCCATGGTGTCCTGTTTGATCTCCACAACCCCACTAAGGAGAGATTATGCGTCCATTTTATGGGGAGGAAGTGGAAGCTTGCACGAGGTGGCCCAGTTGGAAGGGGGTGAGGTGTGGCAAGGACATGAATTGACTCCAGAGCCAGGCCCTTACCCTGGAGGCTGTTTCAATCCCTCAGGAACTCCTATATCAGTCACACGTGGTACCACAGATGATCTCACTATGGTGGCCAGGTGCTGTGCATGCCGCCTCCCCAGGAAGCCTGCTGCACTTCTGCAGGCTGCGTTAAGGGCCGTGCTGCCCTTCCAGGGCTTGGGTCACAGTTATAACCGCCAATAAGTGAACAGATGACAGAGATAGGAGCTACGAGCTCCTGCAGGACCCGGTACAGCAGAGTGTGTTCAGAATAGCCACGGGGACAGGCAGTGGTGGTGCCGTCTCTGAGCCCTCCCCTCATCTGACCCCAGGTGTACGGGGCATCCAACGTGGAGCTCATCACTCGCACTCGGACAGAGCATCTTTCAGAACAGCACAAGGGCAAGGTCAAAGGTAATGAGGCAGAGGCAGACGGCGGGTGTGGGGGATGGGGGAGCGTTGTAGGACTGGACAGGCAGCTCCCACTTCAATATCTCTGTCAGGTTTTCTCAGGGAAACCGACTTCAAGTGCTGAGCCCTAATGGTTAGTGGCGGCTGCCTAGAGTCTTGCTCAGAAGACTGTAGGAGTGACAGCTGACTGCTGATGTCTGCTCTGGAGTTGGGAGAGGAGAAATGACAGGTCTGCCACTTACTGGCCATGCTAGTCTAATGGGACATACCCTAGATACAAAGTCAGGGAGCTGCGACGGACTGAGTGTGCCCCTTAAATACCACCCTCTGGCCTGTCTGAAGTAGAATGATATAATTCCCGAGGGGGAGCAAACTATCATAAGTGAGGGACTTGCAGGGACATCTGATATCGTGCATCTTCCTGAAGCACTGACCAAAAGCAGGTGCCTCAACCTGGAGAGTGACACCCCAGAAAGTATTTCCTGAGCCCTAGGCCGCTGTCATTCTGATAATCGTACTTGGGCCTGTGGTGTGGGTGAGCATACTGGCACCTTAGGAACCATCCACCAGGTCACAGGAGTCCTCTCTTCAGCAAGGTCCCCAGGTGTGTGTGTGTGTGTGTGTTGGGGAGCATGCCCTGCAAGCTCTGAGATACCACATTTCTTGTAGGCTGCAAGACCCCTCTACAGTCCTTCCTGGGAATTGCTGAGCAGCATGGAGGCCCCCAGAACGGAGTGAGTGTGTGCCATGGGTGCCCCTTGAGGAGAGGGGTGGGTGTGGCTTAGCAGGAGGCTTGGGAGGTGTCCTGCTTAGCATGGCCAATGCAGATATCCTTTCCCCAACACCCAAGGCGTGTCTGCCCCGCACCGGCAGGGGGCCAGCCTGGAGGCTCGGTGGCACAGGATGGCTGACCTGGCCTCACGCCCCCCCCTCTCCCCATGTGGCGCAGACCCTAATCACTCAGACTCTGAGCCAAGCCAACCCCACTGCCATCACTGCGGAAGAATACTTCAACCCCAACTTTGAGCTTGGAAACCGTGACATGGGCCGCCCCATGGAACTGACCACCAAGACACAGAAGTGAGGCCCTTTGGTCCTGCTGGGGAGGCTGGGTGGGCAAGGGCCAGGCTCCAGGAAGTGCTGGGAGGCCACGGCTTCCTGCAGTGGCCCTCACCCCTTGGGATCTGGGGGGGGCAGGTTCAAGGCCAAGCTGTGGCTGTGTGAGGAGCATCCCCTGTCCCTGTGTGAGCAGGTGGCCCCCATCATCGACCTCATGGCCGTCAGCAACGCGCTTTTCGCCAAGCTCCGGGATTTCATCACGCTCCGCCTGCCCCCCGGCTTCCCTGTCAAGATTGGTGAGACCCCCCAACGCATTTTCACCTTTTGGGAGGTCAGCTGAGGTAAGGGAGCAGGGCTGAGGTGTGAGGCTGGGTGAGGGTGGCGCCCAACCGTGTCCCTCTCCATAGAAATCCCGATCTTCCACATCCTCAATGCTCGCATCACCTTCGGGAATCTCAACGGCTGCGACGAGCCCGTGCCCTCCGTGCGAGGCAGCCCCAGCAGCGAGACACCCTCCCCCGGCAGCGATTCCTCCAGCGTCAGCAGCTCCAGCTCCAGCAGTGAGCGCCCCTCGCCCCCTTGCCAACTCTCTGCCACCCATCAGGCCCTTCCCAGCCCCCCAGGCCCTTCCCAGCCCCCCAGGCCCTTCCCAGCCCCGTGCCTGACCCCCACCCTGCGTTCCCAGCCTCGTGTCGCGGCTGTGAGATCTCCCCCGCGCTGTTCGAGGCCCCGCGCGGCTACAGCGTGCTGGGCGGCCAGCGGGAGGCGGCACCCCGCGACGAAGACGACGACCTGCTGCAGTTTGCCATCCAGCAGAGCCTGCTAGAGGCGGGCAGTGAGTACGATCAGGTGTGTCCCCGCGCGCAGCCGCGACGGGCCTCGGTGGCCCCCAGCCACCACTGACCCCAGCCCTTTCTCCCTCCCTGCAGGTCACCATCTGGGAGGCGCTGACCAACAGCAAGCCCGGCACCCACCCCATGTCCTACGAGGGCCGCCGACACGACAGGTCAGTGCCTCCCCCAGCCCGCAGAGCCTGGGCGACGCTGTCCGCAAGGTGGCAGCTGGGGACGCGACCCAGGCCGCCTGGCGTTGCGACTCACCGGACAGAAGGCTGGAGCTGTGGTCCTGAGGCCCCTCAGGCCGCGGGCTGGGGTTGTGGGGCGCGGCGCGGCAGCTCCCCGGTCGGACGCGGCTCCCTCGCCCGCAGGAGCGCCCCGCCCACGCCGCAGCGTCAGCCCGCTTCCTCGGCCGCGGCGTCGGGCTCCAGCCCTCGGCCCAGCCCCGGGCCGCGCGCGCACGTGTTCCGGAGCTACGACGAACAGCTGCGGCTGGCGATGGAGCTGTCGGCGCAGGAGCAGGAGGAGCGGCGGCGGCGCGCGCGCCAGGAGGAGGAGGAGCTGGAGCGCATCCTGAGGCTCTCGCTGACCGAGCAGTAGCGCCCCTTGCCGCGACCCTCGCGCCCACCCATCTCCCGCGGAGACGCTCCCCCGCCGCGCACCTGCAGGGCGGTCGGCTGGAGACGAGCCACGGCCTCGAGGCGGAGCTGCGCGCCCGGCCGAGACCAGGACAGGCTAGCGTGGGCGCGGGGTGACTTGCCAGGCCAGGGCCCTGGAGGCAGCAGTCACCTGGCTTTGTTGTATCTTGACTCCTAAGGGGCTCCCCGCGGCTCGGATCTGCCTGAGCGAGGAGCCAGGCAGGCCCAAGGGGGAGACGAAGCCTTTGAGGAGCCTTGTCCCCATTCCCTTGCTCCTTTCTGCTCACCGACCCAACTCCAGGACACTGCCCCTGAAGCCTTTGCATCACTGTCCTTCTACCCCCTGTCCCTGGGAGGCAGCTGAGTTCCCCGCGTGCTGTCGCTGCTTTGTCCCAGACACAAACCAGCACGTCTAGGGTCCAGCCCCTCCCCTCACCCCGGCATTTCAGCGTCAAGTGCACTTAGCGGGGTGCCCGGCTCCTCCAGCCCCCACACCCGTCCTGGGTCTCAGGGTGGTCCCAGCTTCTCCTTGGGCAGCCAGAAGTTGGAGTACTCATCGCCAAGGCACGTTATTTTTGTTGTTGTTTTTTTTTTTTTTTTCCTTTGTGACACAGAGAGCTTGTCCAAGGTAGCCCTCCTGGCCTATGTAAGGCCTGACTCCCTTATGGTGCCTTGGAGAGTGGGGGGAGGGGAGCACCTGGAGCTGGGGGCAAGCACTAGATCTGACACTAGACCGAATGCAAAGGGGTCACCCAGGGCCCTGGCACCACCACCTACCCCTTCCCACCAGCTGCTGCTAGCCCTCTGTGGTTGTGTGTCCCACCTGCCCCCACCAGGGGCCGGTCTAAAGCCCTTCATCCAATGGTGCTAACCCCAGGCTCTTCCCTTGCCCCACCTCACTAACTCCCCGGCCCCCAGAGAAGCACAGACCCCGAGGGGGGCAGGGGCCACTGCACACCCTCATCCAGGGCCTCTCAGACTGGCCTTCCCGGCTCAGCCACCGAGGCTTGGAGGGGACACAACAGAAGGGGACCGAAGAAAAGAACGACAAAGAGAAGCTGTTCTTCCCACCCCTCTCCCTGATGCCAGGGGCACCAGACTGATTGTGAGGCACAAATAAAAGAGGCTTCAAATGGGGGAGTGCTTTTCTGGGGACTTTACTGGGGAGGCAGCACCTGCTGTGTGGGGAAGTGGGGAAGGGCTCCGGGTATAAGGGACTATGGGGGCAGGGCAGGATCCCATGTGCCAAGTGCCCCCAAGACACTGGCAGGAGCTATGGCTCTCAGCCCATCCTTCCTCCCCACCCCCATGCGGAGGCCCAAGTGAACACTTAGCCATGGACTTCATTCAATGGATCTTGTTTTCCTGATAGTCAAGGCCAAAGCAGAGAGCCGGGGTATACTTCGGGGGTGAACCTGCTCACCCTTGCCAGTTCTCCAGAGAGTTCTTTGGCAGAGACTGCCCACTCCACTGCCAATGGAACGGAAGAGAACCCCCTGGGACAGCCCATGGGGTGTAGCATCCACAAATCACAGGTTGTGTCTGTGTATGTAGAACTGGGGTGCTCCTGTCTGGGTAACCACTCGTTCATTTGTGAGGATCAAAGGAGCTGATGAGGCAAAGCGCTGTAACTCTGCCCAGTCTGAAGGGGTGAGGAACCTGATGAACTGCCACTCCCTTTGAGGTCAGGCCCAAGCTCCCCCAAATCTCCCAAGCGTAGCGCTAATACTAAACACTTCCCTGGATTTCTGCATGTGAGATCAAAGGGGGATACCACCACGCCCTGCAGCACCATTGGTGAGGCCCCCTGACCCCTGGGCGGCCTAGGCCAGCTCTTGCGAGTCCCGGACCAAGTGTGCAGCCCAGCGCAAGTCAGACGTGGAGGTTGCTCGCCTCCATCCCGCCAGGGAGGCGGTGTTCCGCCCACCCCGGCCCCAGCTAAAGGAGGCAGGCTTTGGAGTCCAGAGCGGGCGCAGGGCTAGTCCGTGCCGTCCACCAGCTCGCACAGCATGTTCTCCAGCGCCGTGATGCGCTGCTCCTGTGCCTGCACCCGCTCACGGAGGGCCTTGATCTCCTCCAGCAGCGTCTCCAGGGTGTGCTGCTGCTAGGGCACCCAGGACACAAATGTCCAGGTTAGACCACGGGCAGTGGGGACACGCATGAGCTGGGACTGGGTGGAGTGAGGTTGGGTCTTACCGCCAAGGGGGTGTCACTGGCCGACTGGCTGCGGCGGGGCCCGGCAGGAGGGCGGGCGTCCAGGATGTTGCGCTTGCTGACCCTGAGCTCGCGGTGCTTGGGAGGCACGTAGCCATCCCTTAGCGAAATGAGCACGGGTTCAGCGTCCTGGCCTGACAGCCATTCGTCTGCTTCCAGCGCTGGCTCCGGGCCCGGGGTGTCCGGGTAGAGGTCGTCTTGGAACAGGTCTGACTGCGGGGGTGGGGGGTGGGGGTGGGGAAGGATGTATGCGGGAGGGCAGGAGGATGTGTGTGAGTGGAGGCGCCGGCCAAGCCCCCTCTGTTGCCTCGAAGTCCCGCCCAGCCTCCTTCTCTGACCCTCACCTTGCGGGGCACCGTCATGACGATGGGTTCACATTTTCTCTCATGCAGCTTGTAGAACCTGTGAGAGAGCGGGGGTTTGGCACCACCGAGGCGGTGTGATGGCGGGGGGGGGGGGTTGGAGCCCAACCCTTGCTGAGCTTCCACTGTGCTCACTGCGGGTCTGGTGTGACCACCATCCTTACACTGCACAGACCAAAGCACCGAGAACCACAGACCACTGACCACGGCACCGGAACGCAGAACGCACCTGTCTGACCCCTCACTCCCCTTTTCTAAAGCCTGGCAGGGGCAGGGGAGGGAGTAAGCCACAGTGGCCAACAGGAGGCAGGGACAGAAGCATGCAGGGGCCGAGGCTCCCAACCTGGCGATCTCGCACTTGCTGACGTCCAGGCCCCGCTTGGGCATGAAACCCATGCCTCGCTGTGGCTCTTTGCTGCTGAACGTGTTCAGGTAGTGCACAAAAGGTGGCTCATCGGTAATCTCAAAGTAGCGAATGCTGCTGTCGCCCTGCAAAACCCTCTGGTTCAGAGGTGCACCTGCGTGGGGCCCTCTGCACTTCCACCCTGCCTTCCGGTTCTCTCCGCTGTCTCAGTCACCTTGCCACACAGGTAGACGATGCTGGAGTCAGGATCGTAGAATGGCAGGAGGACCCCGTTGCTTGTGTCCATCTCCTGTAGTGCCACGGGCTCTTCGAAGTTGTTCTGCCCAAGGACAGGGTAGGTGGGTGGGCGGGATCAGCCTTGCCCCGCCCTCCCGTGCTAGCTCGGAACCCCCAGGAGCCCCTTCAGATTTTCCACCCTCCCAAGCCCCATGCACATCCAAAGACAGCTCTGATCTGCAGAGCAGCAGCCCCCTCCCCTGGACATGACTCCTCCTCTCCCGCGCACTTATACCCCCAGTGCCGCTGCATGCAGTCACAGCAAACCACCCCCAGGGACTCGGCATCATCAGGCGGGGGCGCCAGCGTGGGGCTTCTTCAGGCGATGCGGCAAAAACTGGGCAGAGGGGTGAGTGGGGGGGTGGGGGTGGCAGGCGCTGCAGAGGGGACAGCAGCCTCCAACCCTGTCCAGGTGGGCAGGCCCTGCGGGAGGGGGGCGCCTGGCCCCTCCCCCGTGATGCCAGTCCCCGGGGCACACCCCCCCACAAGCCTCCAGCTGTGTTACCGGGTCCCACAGGCCCAGCTCTCGCTGGCTCATGCGGGTGAAGCCCGTGGTGAAGATATGGCCCTGGCGCGTGAAGACGGCCCGCATGGGTCTCATCCCCTCGTGGGCCGCAAACCTCTCCTGGGGGTAGGGGGAAGACACGGAGGGGCATCACTGGACTGCCTGCCCTAGGGGGCCATGGAGGGCGGAGCAACCAGCTGGATAGCTCAGATGTGGGTGGCAGAGAAGGAGACACGGAAGGGGCCTGAGAACTCAACTTCCAGCGGCGTGAGGGACCCCGGGGTTTGCAGAGCCGCTGGGACTGGAGAGGGCAAGATGTGCGCAGTTCTCAGCTGATCCCAAGCCCTTAAGCGCCCAAGAGCTGAGGGGGATGTCTGCTGGTTCCCGGTGTCAGCGCGAAGCTTTTCCCGGAACGCAAGCTCTCCGCCCAGCTCGGGGGTCTCTTGGGCGCGGGCCGCCGCCCCGGAGAGCGCGCCCCTGGCCGACACGGTGGAGGAACGAGCGCGCGAGCGCGCCCGGCGCGGCCTGGCCTACCGGGTCCCACAGCGCGAGTTGCCGCTCACTCATCCTGCTGAAGCCGGTGCTGAGCAACTTGCCGTCTGCGGTGAAGACGGCCCGCAGCGGGCGGGCGCCCTCGTGAGGCCGGGCTCGCTCCTGCTCGCAGGGTTAGTGGGTTAGAGCACCCGCCCGCCCCGCCGACGCTCGACGCGCGTGCTCCACGCACACATGCATGCGCCACGCGCCCCAGGGTTAGACTGGAGCTGCTGAGGCCGGGCCCCCCAACCGTGCCCAGCCCTCGCTCTCCCAGGTTGCCCCCACGCCCTGCTTCGCCTTGCAGAAGGGGTGGGGCTGGGGCCCCAGGCCCTGGAAGGTGGGTTGCCCCTGCTGTCTGGCGCAGAGAGAGGGCCCGGAGCTCAGGTTTCATGCAGGCTCTGCTGGGAGGATGGAGTTTCCAGCTGGTCCCCTCCTCCATCCCAAAGTGAGGGGGCTTCCTCTAAACTCCTGGGATGCTGGGGAGGGGAAGGGGAGCAGGGTGGAGGGCTGCAGGTTGCTCATCTCGTTAAGGGCAGGAAGCAGCCTGGGGAAAACACCGTGCGGAAGGAGGCCTGGGGCAGGGGCAGGTGAAAGGCTGCGCCTGGACGGCAGCGCTGGTCACTGGGCAGGGGCTGCTGGTGGGGGGCTGGGCCAGGAACTCACCGCCACCACTTGGCCCTTCCGCGGGTCGATGATGCGCAGGGTCTTGTCCTTGCAGGTGGTGGCTAGGAGGCTGCCGTTGTTGTTCCAGCACACGCTGTGGATGACGTCGGGGTGCATGTCGTCCAGGCTCAGGAGCACCTCGCCGGTGCCCACATTCCAGATGATGATCACGTTGTCACCACCTTCCCAGACAGGGCAAGATACGGTCCTCACCTGGGGCCTGGCTTTGCTCTCTCACTCTCCCATTAACTGACCACAGCAGGGCTGACTCCTCCCCGGGCCCCCAGACCTGCGCTGAGCAGAACGTTCCTGGCCGTAGGGTGCCAGGACAGAATGCCCACGCGCTTGGAGTGGCCCTCCAGCGTGATGACAGGTTCCGTGATGTTGCGCACCGGGGTGTAGTCCGGGATCTGCCACACCTGGGTGTGAGGAAAAGCACAGACAGGGTAGGCTGGGTCAGCAGCCCCCGTCCTGCCGCTCCCCGCCTTCCCTTCACCCTACCGATTCCCTTGAACCTAAGGGTCAAACACAGGTCCTGATTCTAGGCTTGCCCAGGCCAGAAACAGCTGGAAGCCAGAAGGGGGCGCTGCTAGCGCTCCCAGAGATCTCTTCATTTACCCCAGTAAGGAGACTTTAGACCAATGCCCCCTGTTCTTCCGGCCCCAAGTTGTCCATGGCTATAATTAGCACTAAGCAGTGCATCCTGGGAGGGAGTGGGCATATGCCTAAAAATAGCCAGGAGCCAGGCAGGGCAGGGCAGGGCTCTGGGGCTCAGCACCCCCTCCCACCTTCCCCAGCCCAGGTGATGCTGCCCTGCCTGCTTCCCACGCCCAGCCCTGAAGGGTCTGCCAAGTTCCTACCATGATGGTGGTGTCATCTGAGGCACTGGCAATGACGTTGTCATTGTGTGGGCACCAATCGATGTCCAGCACAGGAGCAGTGTGCCCAGTGACCAGTGGGTAGTTCTTATCCACTCGTCCTGTCTGAAGAGATTGGAGAGGAAGGTGAGGGGCACTGTGTGTGTGTGTGTGTGTTTGCGAGTGGGGTGCGTGAGCAGCAGATTTATGACTCAATGCTTGATCTGTTTTTCTCTGCAGGCTCCTCTCTACATCTCTAATCTCATCCTGAAGTTGGCTGAAGGCACAATGAGTTGAAATGATTTACAATTAGGGGACGTTAGAGAGGGACGATGACTCTGCTGAGGACACTCAGCAAGACACTGGTGGGGCGAGACTGGAGCCCTCAGTCCGGTGTTCTGAAGGCAGTTCCCAAGCCTCTTCTTCCAGCTGCAGAGACTGGGGAAGCCCCCAGTGGAAAAGGTCAAGGTGAGATGCCCAACAGCACTTCCGCAGCCATACCCTTAGCATACGACTTCACCTTGGAACCACAGCAGTGGGTGATCCTGGCACCTGGGCTCCCCAAACTGGAGCTGGACACCCACCTATGTTTGGTCTTCACGGGCTGCTTGTGGAGGTTTGGGGCCAGCTGCACTGGCACTGGCCCAGCCTCACTAGCGGTGGACAGCTGTGGCTGGGTGGCACTAAGATGGTAGTTATACAGGCAGAGGAGGCAGCTCCAGCTGAAATTTGAGCCCTGGGTACGGTGTCCCTGGATGGTGTCTGCATTATCTGGAGTGACTCACCAGCTATTGTCAGGCCTCTTCCTGACCCTATCACCTGTGGGCCTCCCCTAACAAGGTGCAGGGGTCAGAATCTGGGTTAAGGTCATGCCTTACAGTGGCCCTCCTGGGGAGGAAGATGGCCAAGGGGTTTGAGATTTCTCAGCAAAGGTGGCAAGCACTGCCTGGCACCCCATCCCCAAGGCACGGGGGCCTCTGGCTTTGTGTGTGATGTTTCCCTGCAGCAGCATGGCAGTGCAATGACTCACCGTGTAGAGCGGGACTCCCACCCCGCAGTGTGCCGTTTTGGGGTGTGAGGTGATCGGGTGGTTATCCTGGGCTGGGGAGGGGGGGTGTGGCACTGGGAGGGACAGGGAACGCATTGCTAGGCCATGGTTCCACTGCAGCCCAGCCATCAGTCATTCAACGCTCCCTAACTGGGGACACTGCACACACAGGTGGATGGACTGGGTGTTGGCATCTGAGGTATTGCTGTTTTGGGTGGGGTGAGGGAGCACCCCAATAGTCCCTGAGGGCTTGGGGGACAAAGAACAGTCAGTGCACACAAACTGGCCTTTGGAGGAATGGAACACAGCAGCACAGACAGCCACGGTAGTCCCCAGGGGGCCCAGACGGTGCCCTCCCACTCGCTTCCTTCCCCTCATTCCTCACCTTGGCCAGGGGCAGCACAATGAAGGCACCCCCACCTCCAGCCTCCACGATAATGGCCAGGAACTTGGGGTTGACGGCACAGAAGGAGCTGTCCCACGTGACCTTGGACACACGTATGTCTTCGTAGGCCTGGTCGGCCTTTGCTGCCTGCCCAAACACATGGCGGAACTTACTCTGCCGCACGACGCGACGGCTCATGGCTGGGGACGGAGGTGGGAGACTTCAAACGCCAGAGATGTTTTTGGTCCTTCGTCCAGTGAGCTGCAGCAGGAGGACGAAGCAGAGGGAAGGAGGACAGCAGGAGGAGCGGGTGTGAGGGACTACCCAGGCACGTCTGGTGCAGCCCTGGGAGCTTTCCTCCTGGCAGTCCAAGCAGGAGGCAGTTCTTTGCCACCTGTGAGGCGCTAGGACTGGGGGGGTCTGACTTCTCAGAGATTTAGGGAGTTCTGTGGACCCTAAGGAGCTGAAAGCTTCCTGGTAGCTGGAATGTTCTAGGGGAAGAACTTCCATGTCAGGTGGGCTGTGTCCGTCTGCTTCAAACAAGCATCGCTTCCTGGAAGTCTTTGCATCTCCAAGAAGCATCTCTAGGCTCTGGCCACTGGCTCGAGGCTGGAGGCCAGGAACGGGGTGAGGCATCCCTCCCCACCCCACTGTTCCCAAATTGTATAGCATCGTTCAGGCACAAGCAGTTCTGCCTTTCTCTAAAAAAAAAAAAAAAATCTGACCACTGACCTGAGTCCTTATTGCTACTGTTCTCATCACTTCTGTGCCGTGGGGGGCCGCGACGGGGGCGGGATTTCTCTCCTGCTTCTACTTTTCCCAACACTGGCTTCTGCCTGAGGCCCTAACCCTGGCCTCCTGGTTTCTGCCTACCACGCTTCTGTCCAGCATCTCCTCTGGCTTCTCAGCCCCAGTGGAGGGGGGCCTGTTCCCTGCTACACTCTCTTGGGGATGGGGTCCACGACCTCCAAGGCCAGGGCCAGAATGGGAGACACTCTCCCGCAACCGTGGCCTGCTGCGCCGCGGCTGTCCTCCCCAGGAGACATTCCCGGTGCTGCCAAAGGGGCACGGGCTCCTGCCCCTCCCCAGTCCCGGGCATCCCTGTGCCCTTCAAGCTGCTTCTGCGGCCCCAGCTTGAGGCCCGGCCTCCCCGCACCCTTCCGACCTCCTGCCCCCAGCACTGCGTTCCTGCGGGACGAGGTGTCTGCGCTCCGGCCGCTGTCCGGCCAAATATAGACACCAAGTCCGCCCTGCCCCGGGACCGAATTTGGCTGCGGGGGGAGGGGGCGCAGACCTCTGCCCGCTCCAGGAGACCCAGCGCGCTCAGCTGGCTGCGGCGGTGGCTGCGGAGGGGGTGGGCTGCCCGGGGAGAGGGAAGGGAAGGTGTACCTGGTCCTGAGCGGGCCGAGGGGGTGCTCACGCAGCGACTCCTTCGCCGGGGGACCGCGGTGCGCTGCGGGGCCGAGGAAGGCGTCCGGGCACTGCCTCTCCGGGTGTCCGCGGCGTGGGGCTGCGCGCTCCGGCCGCTGCCTGCGGTTCTCCGGGGCCCCGAGCCGCTGCAGTCCCAGCTGCCGCTGCCATCAACCTGAGGGGGCGGGCCGGGGCGGGGCCGCGGCCGTCCCGCCCTCTCCAGCGGCGGGAAAGCCGAGCGTCTCCGGGCGCGAGGCGGCCGGCCTTAGCCGACCGTCTGTCCGAAGGGCTCCCGTGCGCCGGGTGCGCACCCTCCGGCCCGGCTCGGCGCCCCTCAGGCAGGCTCGGGAAGGCCCAGGTCCCCGGAGAGGGGAGGCGGCCGCGGGACGCGAGTCCCTGGAGCGGACGGCCGCGCCACTTCAGGTGGTTTTCCGCGATTTTCGCCTCAGACATTCGCTTCCAGCTGAACCCGGCCGGCGACGTCTCTTCTGATCCAGGGCCGCGGCCCCGGTGCTTGCCTGGGAACTGTGGCTTAGTTGCAGGAGTCGCCTGGGCGAGCGCGGAGGACGCAGAGAAGCGCCAGGCCTGTCGTGCCTTGAGAGACGATCCCCGGGCGGGGGGCTAAGTGAACGTTCCTTAGCTCCCCACTCCCTTCCCGGCTCTCAGCATCAGGATCAGAGGGAAGAGGCTGGTACAAGGCTTCGGCCATTTTTAGGGGTGAGAGCAGCCAGCTCAGAAGACCATTGCTAACTAGACTCACATCGTTTCCAGAGCTTGTGGTGCCTATGTTCTAAAGAAGCAGACCTGACTTGAGGAAGATCAAGAAGATAATGTCACCGCTGGTACAGCAGTTAAAGATACTACTGGGGCAGCCACATCCCATATAGTTGGAGTGTAGGAGTTTCAGCCCTGTCTCGACTCCAGCTCCCTGCTGGTGTGCACCCGCGGGTGATGCCTCAAGTACTTGGGTCAGGGGGCTCCTGGTTGATATTTCCCACTCTGGGAGGCTAGCGACCAGCATTGGAGAAGAGGAGGTGGGAAAGTGGTGGAAACCAGGAAGGTCCCCACAAGGCTGCTTCATTCTCAGGAGGATCCAGGTGGCACTTAGAGACTGTCACAAGTGCTCAAGAACTAATTCATGGCACCGGGGGTCCCGAGGACAGATTCCAAGCATTAGGAGAAAAGAGGGACTCACTTGTTCCTACCTAGCAGTCATATTCCTACTTCATGTCCTAAAGACTTCACATAACATTAACTCCTTTCTGGTAACCACTTGCAGAGATGGGTACTGCTATTATTCCTATTTTACATGCGAGGAGAGTGAGGGACAAAAATGGTAGGCAGCTTACCCATTACTCAGCTGGTAGCTGGTGGAGCCCTGGGAGGCTGTCGTTTGTGCCCACGCTTTTCAGCAGCCTGCATTTCTTCTGCCCGTCCTTGAAGGGCAGTGCCACTGTTATCTCCCAAGAACTGACCCTGAGAGGCTGCGTGGCACAGAGTGCCTGGGCGCATTAGGAAGTTGAGATTGCAGTCCCAGCTCAGACAACCCTATTTTTATAGTTTCTTTGGCTGTAAAATGGAGCAGCTGGGGTCAAGCCCCTTCCCACTCCACTTCTTGGCAGAGAAGGTGTTTGCTGTACTGCCAATTCTACAACAGTGCTGTTTGTTTCCCATCTCTTTAAGGGCAGCAGGGCACTGTCTTGTACAAGGTGTGGGTTTGGGACTAGGGAGCAGCAGTTTTGCAATCTGCCCAGTCTTCAGTTACATCACCTGGGGGAGGAGCAGGGACTCCCAGCTATCTGCTTGAGCTGGGTGTGGCTCAGCCCTGCCCTCCAGCCTTCTCCTGGGCTCCAAGGCCTGGCAGAGCTGTGGGCCGGCAGAGGCAAGCCACAAAAAGCCATTCGGGGAATGAAGCCACTTCCTCTCTTCACTGTTAATCTGGGTTCTGTACGGCAGTCTATAGGACCCAGACACAGATTTCACCTTTCCTGACGCCATTTTCTGGAAGAGGGAGTCTGGCTGCTTCTGGCTGTGATTTGATCTGTTTTGGTTAGAAGGTCGAAAGGTTATCTAGATTGGTCAGACCTCAAGCACTCCCAGAATATTTTAAGAAATGATCTGCCCCTTATGATCCTGCACTGCAGTTCGGGATGTGTGTGCTGCTCCCTGCACGAGACCTGGGCAATTCATAACGAACTGGAGTTCAAGGAAATGTGTTCTCCGTAAGTCTTAGCAAATTTTATTAGTAATTGGGAAACTAGACATGGAGCTCTCCCTGGATAGTTGCCTGATCTGAGGTAAGTGGCACCACTCTGAATCTTGTGATCGGGCCTGGGGTGGGCGCAGTGGCTCAGATTCCTGTCTCAGAGAAGGGCCTGCTCTGTGGCCCTGTGTCCTTGCAGCACAACTGAGGCTCTTCTCTCCTAACAGTGGGAAGTTAAAGCTGTCACTCAAAGTCCTTGGTCCCCTCTGGAGACCCTTCAGGGAGCTGAGGTGCCTTAGGCTGCGGTTATTACCCTTCCCTTGCTAATGTGCAGAGGTCACCGTTCCAGGAAGTCCTGTCTGCTGGGGCAGGTCACAGCAGCTGTTCAGGACATCACTCTGCACCACAGAGGGTGGAGGAATTTGGGTCTCTTTGCTTATTCATTCTCCTAACCTTCAGGTGGTGGCTTGGGCAAATGCTACATTGACTGGGTGAGTTCCCAGTTTGGTCACTTGATTCTAAAGCCATGCTGCCTGAAATAATTTTAGTGATCCTATCTCCTATCAGGTCTTTCATTTGTGTGGAAGGAACAAGTGATGCTTTTCTCCAGAGCTCAGCTCTCTGGTCAAGATGTGCCTGGTTGGGCTTAGTTGACACAAAAGGCTGTCACCACTGTTCTCCACCACTCCCTTCACTTTCTTCAGCAGCCCCCTCTGTGACACTTAACAGAAGTACACATTTCATCGTCAAAATAAAAATTTATTCAATCTGTAACAAGAACATTGAATCTGCACATTTGCGCACAAGTTCACATTTAAAAACAGCGGAGCACATCAGTAATAAAAAAAAATCTATGATACAAGTGGAACATCCCAACCACCAGGAAGATTAAGGAAGGAGATGGGACCACTCTATTTTCTGCTTCAAATGCCTCAAAAAGGTCCCAGAGGTTCCAGGGAGCACCTGCTTTAATAAAAGTGAGCATAAAAGTTTGGGGGTGGCCCGGGGCAAAGGTAACAGTCAGTGACAGAGTCTTTTGTACTTGTTTCCTATATTGAGAACAAGTCTTACAAAATAAAAAGGAAGGAAGGAAGGAAAGAAGAAAGAAAAGGCACCTTTAGTTATGCCAAGCAAACCAAAATCCAGTGAAACAGAAACCAAACAATTCCCTGTGGACCTTCTGATTGGGAAACACTTCAGGGCCAGTTACCCAGTTTTCAGCTTGAGGTAAGCTCCAGGTTATTAGCTCTGCAGGTGCACAAGGGATGCTGCTTGGCATCGTTGAAAGCACAAGTGGTGGCACCTGCCCTATACCTCTTAGGGGATTCTTCAAGCTGCTGCAGGGTGGTTCCAGTTTAGAAATCCTGTCCCAGGTCTCTGGGCTACTGAGAAAATGAGGCTAAACTTCATAGCAGAAGCCAGGCTCAGTCACCTTCCACCTCTAGGCTGGAGAAGTACAGAAGCACCTTGCAATTGCTTGCCCTGGCGTCAAGGGACCCGGAGCCCTGGGAGAAGGGTTAGGAGTGTGAGGTTTCCTGCATTGCTGGCAGGCCTCTTCCTAATATGGGTGCTGGGTGAGTTGAGGCAGCAAATACACTTATGTCTAACACATGCCTTCATCTTTTAGTTTGGAAGGGAAAATAAAGTCCAAGATGCTTTTAAGTTGGGTTGCTGCCGAAACATCTACCATCAAAAAGCAAAAGAAAATAACAAACAACACTGACCATTCACCACTACAACCATCACTACAAGACACACCAGCACTGAGCCAATGACTATTTCCACAGAGTGTTAGCTGGGAGTGCAAGATATGAGTGGAAGTCAGCTCCAGGCCACACCCACTGATTGCCAAGGGCTGACTGTTATGGCATTGCTCTGCAGGAGGGCTTACAGGGCAGCCAGGGCTTGGATGCCTGCAGGACTAATGGCCAACAAGATGATGTATATTTTAACACTCACAATGTAAACAAAGTATCCACAAATAGTTTTCCAAAAAGCCAAAGAATGGCTTTATTTAAAAATTTTAAAATGCCCTTATAAATGACTTTTTGCATAATGTTTAAAAAAAAGAAGAAAAGAAAAAAAAAAACCCAACTTCCACAAAAACATCTTTACCAAACATGCCTAGATCACGTCACAACTGAAATCCTCAGATGAAACAAGTGAAGATTTCTGTAAGCTGCTAAGTCTAGGAAGCTCTGCCTCGACCTAACAGCATTTGTCTGGGGCCTGTGAGCTCAGAGCCTGGGCTGTCATCTTCAGTCTGATCTTGGAGCCTTAGGTAGTTTCCAAAATGAGAAGAGGAAATACCAGCACAGGAACCAGGAAAACCCTAGATAAAGAGCCTGAAGAGGCTGAGATGCCAAGAATGACCCTAAACATTAAGAATCTGAAAGGCAACCCAAACAAGGAGAGATGGACATCACTGCACTACGGCACTACATGTCTACTAGAGAATACTCCTAAATGTCTGCAAAAACTAAGGAAGGATTGGGGCTTCTCTCCTACTGACCAGGCAACCATCTAGATTACAGCTAAAATTCTGTGTGCTCCCAGGGCTTTGGCCCCAGGCACTGAAACACGCATGCATGCACACACACACACTCACATACACACATTTTCCAGAGTAATTAAAAATCAGATTATGGTAGTTTTCACAGAAGAAAACAAAAAGGCGGCTGGGAAAAGGTCAAGGCTTTTTTCTGCTTATCTATCAAACTGGTACTCCAGGTCTGAGCTTCCTGTGAACAGGAAAGAAAAACAGGCCAACCAAAAATTATGTATAACTGAAGAAAGTATGAAAAGCCCTTAACATCTCATTAGCTACCTCTCCTGGACGTCACTCAGTTATGTAAATAAACCAAGAACATCCAATTGTGGGGGGTTCTGAGAGGACTGGCAAAAACCCCTTGACATGGTTCAATTATAGACCCTGTGTAGATGCTTATTCAGAAAGGTGAAGGAAATGATTTAAAAAATTAATTTAAAAAAAGGCAAGACAAAACAAGACTGTTTCATCAATGCTCTATTTTTTTTCTTCACAGCATTAGGTTTCTTTCCCATCTCTGTTCTATCTGATGCAGTGGGAGGGCCAGAAGACAGGACAGTGCAGCACTGTCGAGACTGTCTGTCCTCTGTGTGTGGCATGTCACCCTCATGGGGCTTACCATCAGTAGATGCCACTTCCTTATCTCCACATAAATTCTCCTCTCCCCAGCTCTGCCTTTTCTTACTCTTTCCCCCATCACATTGGTGGTGGCATTGCTTCAATAAGACAGAGCAGTTTAGATGGATGAGTCCTGGAATTCATAACCCTGTCTCTCAGGCCTCCTCACAATGGCACACACCAGCTAACAATGTAACACATAAATATCCCAGAAGCACACAGTGGTGTGGAAGATACGTTTGAACATTTCAGCAGACAACTGAGGGTTAGCACAGGTACACACAATCACTATATTTTAAGGACACTCTTAGCAGGTGGTTTCTGATCCAACCTGCCTCCTGGCAGTGATGTTAGACCCAACCACAACTTCAGTATGGCAACTAGATTCACAGCTCCTGTCAAGCACCTGCAAAAGGCCCCAGTTCACCTTTTCTGTGTACTCTGGGTCACCCTGTTCTCTGCCCCCACTGAATTCTGGCCTCTGAAATGACCTTGAAGGTCTGTACCATCTCCAGTGCTACCATGAACCAAAGCCCAAGTCTCCAGTCTGAACTGCTTGTCAATCCTTAGCAACGTGGACCAAGGCAAACAGGAAGCAAATCTGCAAACCTCTTTAGTTTTGATGAGCTGCAGAGAGCACATCGCATTCGGGGCTAAATTAGCTTTCTGCAAGATGCTGAAAGAGGCTTGTTTATGGCAAATGCTCCTGTGTTAAGGATCTCCGCGACAGCAGCAAAGCAACAGCATTCTAAATGGAGTCATTAGCTTGGTCAGGGCCTCCCCTGTGGCCGCTCAGCCTCCATTAGGAGCTTCCAGCTTAGGCAACTCACGCACACTCCCTGGCTGTGGTTTCAGCTACTGGCAGTGTCCTGGGACTCAGGGCTCACAGAGAAGCCAACTGTCAGTCAACGCTGTGAGCCAATGGGAGCTTCCAGGAGTTTTTTTGAGGAGGAAGTTACTAATATATAATTTGGCAGGAGCTAATTAGACCACTCCATTTAAACAGTTAAAACAGTCAATATACTGTGCAGATTCCTATCAAAGCCTATCGGTTTTACTTCCGGTGTCTTTGTGTGTTTTCCAGTTGCAACACTACTTCTTAAAAATAATCAATGAAAAAGACTCCATAACATCAACAAAACATCATAAAAAAGTGACATTATGTACATAAATACTGTGTATGAACTTTACAGAAATGACAAACTCCCCAGGAAAAAGAAAAAAAAAAACTTATGTCAAGTGTTAACAGTGATAATATAGAAAACTTTGCATTTAATGGAAATTATACACATGTAACAATTCAAATATAATCTATGAAATTAAAAAAATTAGGCAGCATGGGGGAAGAAAATTAATTGAAAAAACAAAAAACAAAACATGGTCATTAAACTCAGAAGGCCTGCAGTATAATTCAAGTAATGGAAGGGTTACAACCCCGCAGACATATTCACTTGACAAGAACACACCGACTTTTGATTGCTGTTTTTCAAACTCGTCACTGCTGTGTTTTAGGGGAGAGGATGCTACAGAGCACAGCTTCCGGCAGGAAGGGCCAAGAAAACCACCCGTGTGGCTCTCCCCAAATCTAAGAGTAACTGGGCAGTGGCCTCTCCACTCCCGACTTTCTATCTAGAGAAGAACTCTTGAATTTCATTTTGGGGTTCTTTTAAACTTTAATAGACCATTTTCTTGGTGAAGTTTGCTTGATAAATCTACAAAGCCCATCATTATCATGCTTTTTCTGTAATGACATGCTCTAGAATGCCAGAAGCAGTAGATTCCAAAAGGCCTCACTTTTAGAGTAAAACAAAGCATGCCCCAGGTTAGGGCCTCCCCAGGCTGAGGACCCCCTGATGTCCACTTGCTCTTCAGTCCATCCACTAGGGCCTCAGGTCTGGAAGGCATTTCATGTTCATCCGGAGACTAGTTTCCAGCTTGGACTCTACCCTTGGCATCCGCCTCCTTCCCTCAAGCAATCAAGCACATATTCTCTCACGGTAAGATGAGGAGCAGGTGGCAGGTGATTGAAAAACAGCAATTTACCACACACACACACACACAGACAGGTATTCTTCAAAAATGAGTTTTTTTTTTTAAAACAAAAAGTGATAAAATGGTCTTGTCATCCAAATCATCTCTCTCCCCTGCCACACACACACACACACACAGACACACACACACTGAAAAAACCCAAACCCTGCATGCGCTAGGAACAGTAAAATGACCAAAATAGTATAAAATTAACCAATAAAGTGCATGTTCCTTACATATTACACCTGCCCCTTTTACAAATATTTCTATTAGAAAGTCACGCGTATAGGCTCAGAATCACATGGTGTTATAGAAGGGGTTGGTTGTCCGTTTTTTGTCATTTGCTTTTTTCAGTCTCCTAAGGGGATGAGTTCGGCCATGTTGCTGACGGGGAGCCATAGCCAGCACTGGGGCTGGGCCCGTACATTGCAGACCCTGGGTCTGTAGCCAAGGAAGGCCTCCTTCAGAACTAGTCAATTCCGGTCCTGCCCTGGGGAGCAAACACTGCTGACTGAACCCAAATTCTTTGGCATACTGTACAAGGGGCCTCTCCACCGGCTTGCTCTGTGCGATACACTCTGTTGTTCTGAGTTGCTCTACAAAATACTTGGTGGGCTCTGGGTTCTGGGGGGCATCTGGAGTTTTTGGGGACTCCTGGGACCCCAGGGCATGCATGCCTGAGTCTGTTCTGAGGAAGGGCTGAAGCAGTTTGACAGGAGGGGTTGCAGAGGAGTCAGGCTCCCCCTCAGGGAAACAGTCTTTACAGAGGTCCAAGTAGCCTAACTTGGCGAGAGAAGCTGAGCGCCTCATTTGAGGTGGTTTGGTGCGCCCTGCCTGGAAAGTCACTCGAGACTCAATCTCCTGAGTGCGCTCCCTTACCAAGCCAGGGCTGCTGCTGCTGCGACCTGCTATGTTTTCCCCACCAGAGCTCGGTGGGAGCTGACAGGACTCAGGGGACAGGTCCAGTTTGTCCCCTAACTCCCCACTGTTGTCACCCAGCTTGCCCCTTAAATTGAGGTCCTCACTGCTTAACTGGGAGCCCCGGTGTGGCACTGGACCACCACCAGACAGGGGGACCTGTGGACTTCCTTCCCAGCTAAGCTGTGCTGTAGAGGGCTCGTGGTCTGTGGTGCTGGAGTGCTCTGTGACATCTTTCAGGTGTACCACCATTTGGGGATGCAGGAAATCCAATGTGGCAGAGGGTATATGGGTTGTGTGGCTGAAGAAAGGCGCTGCTGCCTCTGGGACTGTTGGTGGGCTGCTGTCCCTGACTTCAGGACTGCTCAGTGTGGAGGTTGGATCAGCAGGCCTGTCATGCCCCGAGGATGAAGAAAGAGGCAGAGGTAGCGTTTGGGGTTGCAGAGAAAACTGGTTGGGGCCCAGGGTCCTGTTCAGATTTTCATCGAGCGCGCAGAACACAGTGACAGACTTCTCCACTTTGATGTGCCTCAGCCTTTGCTCCCCACTTTCTTTGCCAGTGGCTGCCTCCCTTCCTGGCCCAGTGTGACTGGACAGCGTTGCTGTGTGGGTATACTCAATGATTTCTATCCTCTTGGGGAGGGGAATGGGGGCGGCCTGTGTGTCAGATCCCTGGTGGCTACCTATAGTCCTCTGCTCCTTTAGGACGGTTTCCTGTTTGGCTCGAGTGTCTGACTCGGGGCACTCCCGAGGAGTGGGCCAGGGCTGAAGCTCCAGTGGCTTGAATGCCGGAATAATGGCATTCTGCTCACAATGGGACAGAGAGCTGGCCTCAGACCCACCGCACTTCCCTTTGTCCTTGTTCACCTCTGGCTCCTTGGGGGCCAAGGAATGCTCTGGGGTGGTTTCATCACTTCTCCCTTTGGGTGCTAGGTCTGCCACAGAAAAATCGTTCTTGGAGTTCTTGCGCGTGGACAACGAGGGACATGCAGGGGCAGCACCATGCTGCTCTTGTTCTTGCCGTAAGCGCTCCTCAAATTCCAAGGTGGCTCGCCTCACAGACCCAGGGTACCACTTGGCACCAGGATGCGTTCCTGAGCCCCTGTGTTCTTGTTCTCCTTCAACTGGTTCCTCTTCTTCCAGGTAGGCTGCGGATGAGCGAGTGGCTGGACAGCCTTCTGGGTTGCACTTCCCTGAGTCTTTGGCTGGTTCAGACTGGGCTTCGCAGAGGCCCTCGTCCTGCTCCACGTGTCCAGGTTTATTCTCTGGGGCCGGGGCCCTCTCATGGGTGTTGTTCTTCTTTGGCGTATGGCATGTGTTGGATAGGATGTCTCCTTTCAGTTGAATCTGTCCAGCTCCTTGACTGATGGATTCAATTTCAGTGACAATTTCTTTGACTGAAATTGCATTTTCTGAGTGAGATGGCATGAAGATGTCTGGACTGACCAGTTCTGAGATTGCCTAAGAAGAAAAAGTGGTGAGATGATTATGGCAAATTGTAGTCTGACTGAGACCACAAACCATGGAGTGCCTGGGACCATACTTTGTCCACCTGTTTTGTCAACCTATAGGAAATAACAACAACAACAACAACAACAAAGAAAAACCAAAACTCAAAAAAGCAGATTCATCACCGCAGATATAAAAAAGTCATTACAGTTGGTTTACTAATAACTTTTATATTCTGTAAACTCAAGCAAGAATCTAATGTAAGACCTTGCTCCAAAATGAACAGTAAATAGCTTTGGAGTCTCCCTATAACCCATTATTTCCTAGAGCCATGAGCCTCTAAGTCCTAGGATCTAAGCCATATTTGAGTAAATGAAACCTTTCCCCTATGACCTGTCAACTTTCAGGTTGATGCCCACCTATTCAAAGGCTCAGTGGTCATCCGGGATATGTCTAGTGTGATGCACAGCAAGAGAGGTGAGGCTGTCACCTGATGTCTGACGTGGACACTCACCGCCCTCTTCTCTCCTCTGTCTTTCTAGTAGTTTCTCCACCTCCCCACACCGCTCCCTCCAACAGCAGTATCCCAGCCTTCAATGGAGGATGGAGAATGTACTCTATAGCTGCCGGCACAATTCCCAAGTTTCACATGGCCGCTCCTGGGAAAGGCTGACTTGACTTACGCAGCCATGTACCTCTGTAAACTTGGAAATCATGACTCTTGTTAAAAATTCCAGATGGGGCCCGGCATGATAGCATAGTGGTTAAAGTCCATACGGGTGCCGGTTCTAATCCTGGCAGCCCTGCTTCCCAGCCAGCTCCCTGCTCATGGCCTGGGAAAGCAGTAGAGGACGGCCCAAAGCTTTGGGACCCTGCACCTGCGTGGGAGACATGGAAGAGCTCCTGGCTCCTGATTGGCTCAGCTCCAGCCATTGCGGCCGCTTGGGGAGTGAACCATTAGACGGAAGATCTTCCTCTCTGTATATCCACCTTCCCAATAAAAATAAAATAAATCTTAAAAAAAGATGTGTCCCAATTTTAGAAGAGTTAACTTGAGAATAAATTTGAGTCTTAGGACTGATGATGTACAGTAATTCCTTCTCAGGTTCTGTAAGACCTTGCAAGAGTTAACATGCCACAAAGAAGAATCTTAGGATTGATTGTTCTGCTCTCAAATTCGTTTCCCTAAACCAGTTGTTGATTCTTGAGTACCATGACATTGGAGAGCAAAATCCAGACATTACTAACAGCAAAAATTTGGCATTAAGAATCAGTTACTATGCCAGTGACTATTCACATGCATTTTGTGTTTAAATTTTCAGTCAAAAAGAACTTTCCTAAAAATGGGCCCTTCTCAGAGAGATGCAGGTAGGTCTCACTCTACCTCAGGTGGCACTGAACCCTCCAGTACTTCACTGCTGGGGAGGCATGATGTGACTGCACGGGCCCAGGGTGGGGGACCTCTATGGACAGCCAGGTAATCAGTTTGACAAGTCTCTTCCTCTACCATCCCCTCTCTGGGAAGGTTATTACCACACCAAAAGCTTAAAGAAGTCAGTTCCTCCAAAAGCAACTGATTTAAAAAACAAATATAAAAAGAAACCACTTGACACGCCAAGTTTTCTAGGAGCACCTCAGTCAATCTCTCTTGCATTGCCTTTTAAAATTTTTAGTAACATCAAAACCAGTGGGAATAAAACAAAAACCCCAGTATTTTGCCTATGGAGATAATTTTATAAGGTGGAGAACTATAAAGATAGTTTTTACCTTTGACTGTTCTTCATCCATCGAAGATTCTTCAGAGGCGTGGGGAGTATTACTCAAGGAGCTGCTTCTCTGGTCGTCCGTGGTCACCTCAGAAGAGGGCACTTCGACCATGGACAGTCGGCAGCTTTCACCCCTTCCTCCGGCCAGTTCTTCCATTCTCGAGTGGGAAAAGGACCGGCACCGGGTTTCTTGCGAGAGCTCTACAAACTTCTCTAGGGCGCTAAAAAAGTCAATGCGATCAGTACTGAAATCTGAGATTTCAGCCTGGCCTCTGGGCTGAGGGCTTGGTGACTCGGGGTCAGGGGACATGGGGAGGTCTTTCAGGCGAGATGTCAATTCTTCCATAGGTAGTAAGTGGACACTCAGACCTGCTTTCAGTGCATCTGTCTCCAGATCTTCGACTGTGAGGTCTGGAAACTTGTTGGCCATTTCTGGAGCCTGTCCAGGCTGGATTAAGGCTTTGGATGCAGGGCAGTTGTCAAGAGGGAATTTTGATTCATTCAGACAACACCCGGATGAGCATCCATTGATGTCATTTAAGTTTAATTCATCTTCAATCTGTCCAGGATGGAATTCCCTAGAAGCAAACTCCAAGCAGATCATTCTCTCTTTGGTACACAGACCTTTTTGATTCACATCTTGTGGGGGGACATGTTCCACGAAGACAGGAGGTATGGGTGGGTGACCCTCCACAGCCTTCACCTCAGCTATGTGGTCTGCGGAGGTGGTGACCTCCTTCCGGTTGAGTTCCAGCCCGGGCTTGCACATGGGCTCGTGGTGGTCTGAGAGGTCGCTGTCAGAATGAGATCTCCAGAGTTTGTTATGCCGCTGTTTGCTGTGAAGGAAATATATACCAGAAATGCCTACTCTGGGTTTGTGAAAATAACACCCTCCCAGAAAACCTCTCCAGATAAATTAAAATATATATTTTTAAATTTTAGGAAGTTATTCATTTACTTGTTTATTTCAGAGGCAGAGCAAGAAAAATAAATAAACCTCCCCCGCTACTGATTCCCTCCCCAAAAGCCTACAACCACAAGGGCTGGACCAGGCTGGGGTCAGGCACCTGGAATACCATCCAGGTCTCCCGTGGAGGTGGTAGCAACCCAAATACTGGTGCCATCACCTGGTGAACATCAGCAGGAAGCTGGAATCAGAGTAGAGCCAGGACTTGAAGGTAGGGATTCTCACATGGGATATGGGCTAGAGCAAATGCTTGCTCTTAAACTTGAATATTGTCCTACAGAACACTTTGCTACTGCTCAACAAAACCAGGCAACAAACATTTACAAAGATACCTAATTTAACTGATAAGAGCCAAAAGCAAAGTAAAATACAAGCAACAAATGAATTTGAGATGATTTTTACCAATTAGACTGATGAGAGACAAAAGAGGTAGGAACAGCCAGTGTAATGATGGTATGACCAAATATGCCCTCTCACTCACTGTTGGTAGGTGTGTGAATTATAGAATTTTTGAGAGCGATCTGGCAATAGCCTTTCAGATCTACCCCTTTTACCCTCAACTCTTCATTTCTTTATTCTTCATTTTCTTCCCACCCAAAGATGTTTATTTATTTATTTATTTATTGAAAGGCAGAGTTACAGAGAGAAGTAGACACAGACAGATCTTCCATCTGTTGGTTCATTTCCCAAATGGCTACAATGGCAGAAGCTGGGCCAGTCTGAAGCCAGGAACCATGATCCTCTTCTGTGTGGGATCTCTTCCCATGTGGGCATGGGACTCAAGGTCTTAGACCTTCCTCTGCTGTTTTCACAGGGCATAAACAGGGAGCTGGCAGAGGGTTAGGCTGTTACAACATGGTGCTGGCACCATCAGCAATTCTTTTAAGAATTTTTTTGGGAGGCCAGGTGTTTGGCCAAGCAGGCAAGATGTTGGTTAGGCTACCCATATCTCATATAGGATGGCCTGGGTTCAAACCACATCTCTGCTTCAGATTCCAGCTTCTTGCTAATGCACAGTGATGGCTGAACTCACTGAGTTCCTCACACTCAACCGGCAGACCTGAATGGAATTAACAGCTCCAGTCTTCATCCTCAGCAGGGGCCATTACGAGCATTTGGGAAGCGAGCCAGTGGATGAGAACTCTGTCTATCAAGCAAATAAACTTAAAAAAAAAAAAAAACTCTACAGATTTTAAAAGAAATGTTACAAATGCACAAAGATATACATGTAAGGATATTTACTATCATAATGTGATAGTAAAATTATATGTCAAAATTTAATTACACACAAATTATGCTACAAAGTTGTTAAAAATGATCATACTTTATATGATGTGCGATATATACTATCTAAAGGAAAATAAATATTAAACATTTGGAATGGTTGGGTTTTTTTTTTTTTTTTTAGATTTATTTTATTTTTATTGGAAAGGTGGATATACAGAGAGGAGAGAGAGGAAGATCTCTCTGATGGTTCACTCCCCAGGTGGCCACAACGGCTGGAGCTGAGCCAATCCAAAGCCAGGAGCCTCTTCCGGGTCTCCCACATGGATGTAGGGTCCCAAAGCTTTGGGCCGTCCTCAACTGCTTTCCCGGACCACAGGCAGGGAGCTGGATGGGAAGCGGGGCTGCTGGGATTAGAACCGGCACCCATATGGGATCCCGGGTGTGCAAGGCGAGGACCTTAACCACTGCGCCATTGCGCCGGGCCCGGAATGGTTAGTTTTTATGTTAAAAATTATAGAAAAACACTTAAAGGAATATCAGGTGACTGAGAACAGATACTTCTGGGGGAGGCTTTTGTTTTCTATATTTCATATTTCTATACATTTTTATTTTTAAAAATGAGCCATGCTTGGTAACTACAACCAGGAGTGGGGGGAAACCCAAACCAAAATAACATACAAAGTCTATTGGAGCCCATTTCGAAGCCCTCAGTAACGGGATGGGCAGCTGACAGTGCTCATGCTTGAACTGGAACACAAAGACAAGGCTTGTATACTAGGATAAAAGCTCAGTAACAGAAAAAGAGGAGAGGCTTAAAGCACTGGCTCTTTTTATTAGAATCTCTGGATAAAAACCATTAAGGTAACACCTGAAAAGGCAGTTAAGGCAAAGAAGACCCCTCACACACATATTCACTCTTTGGCCTATTTGATGGAGAAAAGGTCTCAGGTTGGGGATGAGATTTAATCAGATATTCCAACAGGAAGCCTCAGGCAAAGGCACAGAGCTGATGGTGGTTGGTCAGACCACTTGACCAAGGAACTGGTCACAAAGTGTGGTGCTTGGGGGTATGGTCTCCATGACTTACAAGCTGAAGAAGTTACTTAACCGCAGGGTGGAATGGGAAACTGCCCAAAACAACTTGCCCTGGGCTCAGGGCCACGCCTGGGTTCTGCCCAGTCATGCGCCTGCACTAATGTGACCTTCTGTTTGTTCTCAGCTCTGCACCTGCTTTTAGCTCCCTTTGCCTGTCTGCTGCTTGGGTGAGGCTGTGACTCAGGCTTGCCAGGTCCAGGGTGCTTTCCTGGGTAAGAGGCGGGTCAGGCTGTTTATGAAGACTAGCCGTAATCAATTAGCTGAGTCCCAAGTTGGGTTTTCTCCCTTTCCAAGCTGCATGAACTCTCATCACCCCTAGGAGGAGACAACATATCACAGATCTCAAACAAGTGAGTGGCTCTGGGGAGGGATAAGCTGACTGCTTGGTTAAGTTGCACAATTTGAAAAACTTTTTTTTTTTTTTTAAGATTTATTTATTTTAAAGGCAGAGTTACAGAGAGAGTGAGGTTTACAGAGAGACATTTATCCACTGGTTTGCTCTCCAAATGGATGCAATGGCTGGGGCTGGGCCAGGCAGAGGCCAGGAGCTGGATGGGAGGTGGAGCAGCCGGGACTTGAATTGGCACTCATCTGACATGCTCGCATCACAGGCAGTAGCTTAACCCACTATGCCAAAATGTTGGCCCCTAAACTGCACACCATTACCGAGCCAATGCACTTCCTTTTTAAAGTTTAGTCTCTTAGATTCAGATGCCTTTGTTTCCTGCTTAACTGTAGCCTGTGCTCTCCAATTTCTGCCCCTTACCCGTCCTGATGACCAACTTTCTTCACCCACCATGACAGGATGACACCCACAGTGCACAGGACTAGGAGGACCTCTCAGAGAGAAGCTGTTGTAGCTCTTTTATTAACACACAACAGCTGATCTTATCAGTTGACAGGCTAAAGAGAAGACTTCATGGTCCCAAGAAACTTCCAAAGTTGTTTCTTAAACTGCTTGAAAGTCATGGATCGGGAGGGAGAGACTGAAGTTACACCAATGGGCACAGCAGCGCATACTTCAGATATCACACCTGTGCCTCCCTTCTCTTCCTGGGAGACAGAATTCTCAGAAAATGTGGATTGGGGCTCTGGAATTAAATGGAGATCTATTTTTAAGGGAGAAAGATAAACCTCAATCCAAAGATTTTTTTTTCTTTTTACTTTCTGCAACAAAATGTGCAGGAGAGGCAGGCAGCTCCCTGACCCAGATGTTCATTACCAGCGCCTTGGGGGCACTGCCACTCTGGATGCCCTGCCCTCATCTCCTTCCTCCTCCCTACTCAGGGGTAACCCAAGTCCTCAATCTGGGGGCTACTATTCACTTTCCTTTCTTCACTGTATCAACATGCTTTGTTCCTAATGCTACACTGGTTAGTTTTGAATGTTCTGAACTTTACATAAAGAAAATTATATTGTATATATTCTGCAACTTCCTCTTCTGCTTAACATTAATGTTTTCATGATTCATCACTATGCATAGAATTCATAGAGCATAATAAATGTGTCACTATTTATTCATCTTCTTGATTAATGGTCTTGGTTATTACAAATAATGGGCATTCCTGTGTCGGGTTTACACCCAGGTTACTCAAACGTGTTTATATAGAGAGTGGAAAAGGTGGCTCATAGGAGATGCATGCATCACTAGTGTTATTCCCAGGAATACTAGATTGATTTCCCGTGACGCTTTGTCCCAAGCCAGTTAGCCTTAATGCTGCGTGACTGGTAGGGATAATTTGTATGACATTAGATCACATCTATCAGATCAAACTGTTAACTTTTAAACCCAGCTAACTCTCCATTCCCCTACACCTATTTGAGGCAGGCAACAAATAAACAAGCTGCCAAAACAGAACTTCTGAGTTGGTCTGTGGCCAAGGTGATGCAACCAAGTGTCAGGTCCTTTTTCCCTTGAGCAGCCTCTGACCTGAATTTGGATTCATATAAACACATAAACACATATGAGATAACTGGGCCATTTTTGATAAGAATCTGGCCTGTTAGTAAATGAACAAGAAGGATATTTACATAACAGGATACATAAGGCATCATATTCTTTTGCCTGCTTGCTTGCTTTGGTAAAGCATCCACTTTGAGAAAGCCATGCAGAGGAAGGTACTGCAGTAAAACCAGGCTGCTTCTGGTTACTTTTAGGATATTAGTCTGCAGAAAGCAAGGGATAAAACACCAACTCAGCATTGTCGCTGTGTGTGGTCCTAGGTCCTTGAGATCATTTAACTGCAGGCCTAACTTGCAAGTAAATTGCTTGAAACCTGAATCCACTTACTGGAATAAATATCTGTCAATACCTGCATTATCAGAACGGAGAATAACAAAATGTGCCACAAGCAATGTAATGTCAAATTTTAATACACAGAACACCATTACCCTCGCACTTATCTCACTCCCATCCCAACCATAAATATTGAAAATAAAACCAGACATGAATAGTATCTTCATTTTTCAATTTATAGGGAATATTAAACATTAGCTCTAAATGATATACTTAAAGATGCAAAGACTTCTTTGTATTTTACATGGATT